TTTTGAGACGTCTGCAACAACAGTAATATGATATGGAAAGTATGTCACAGGCTGATACTATTCTGGCCTGTTGCTTATGCTGTGTTCATAGTTGAAGGGAATGTTTTATTGCAGTTAGAAATTAGTGGAGAAGGGAGGCCGAGGCAGGTGGATCACGAGGTCAAGAGATCGAGACCATCCTGGTCAACATGGTGAAACCCCGTCTCTACTAAAAATACAAAAAATTAGCTGGGCATGGTGGCACGTGCCTGCAATCCCAGCTACTCAGGAGGCTGAGGCAGGAGAATTGCCTGAACCCAGGAGGCGGAGGTTGCGGTGAGCCGAGATCGCGCCATTGCACTCCAGCCTGGGTAACAAGAGCAAAACTCCGTCTCAAAAAAAAAAAAAAAAAAAAAAAGAAATTAGTGGAGAAAACTGGCACATTTTTTCCTAAGTTCATGGAACACTTGAATTCTATCCATAGACCCCTGGGACTCCAGAGACTCCACCGTGATCATTCCTGACCCTTCATGTAGCTTACATTTGATCACTAAACAAGGAAAAACAACACATCTAAACTTTCCAAATCAAATCTTTATGAAGACCCTGTGAATCCATGAAAGTGTTCTTTAAATAACAAAGCATTAATTTTTCTCTCATAAGTACTACTTTTATACACCATAATGTAATGAACTATTAGATATTTCTGATATTTTTATATTATATATTATTAAGTATTTGTCAACAAAATATATGTGTCACTTTATTTAATTTCTTAAGAAACTAAGTTACCTTGATTCTAGCCGAAGGTGTGTCTTTGGATGATTCAATGGCCTTGTGCATTTCTTTCTTTTTCCTTTCCTTCTCCTTTGCTTTCTTCCTTCTTTCTTCTTTTTCTCTCTGTCTCTCTCACTCTCTTTCTCTCTCTCTCTCACACACACACACACACATACACACACATTTTATTTTATTCTTCAACAAATATTGAATAATGAATTTAAATAATGAATATGTGCAGACAACTGTGCTAAGCTTCATATAGTGGATAGTGATCTCAGAAGCCTCACAGTCGGTCGTAATATATCATGGCCCAGAGGCAACTTTATCATACAGCCAAGGAAGATTCACCTTCATCCCATGGTCCAGGTGTGTGTTCAGTTCCATCATAAAGGGTCATGGTTTCCACAAGACCCTCCGGGTCAGAGACAGAACTGACATAGGTTTCTATTTATCTTCATGTGCTCGAGCTCATACTGTGGGTTCCAGCTTGTTCTTGCCCTCCTCCATGTACCCTCTCTCTTCCCTTCCCTGCTGCCTGCTCTGCAGACTTCAAACTCCAACATTAGACACCAGGGTGACAGGTTTACAGAGACTGCTTTACCAGCTCCCATCATTGCATAAAATCAAATCCCTGTAGCAAATCTCTGATTGTTACAGATATGTATATATTGTATATATTTTGTCATATATGATATATAATGTATAATAATTCTATACCATAATTATGTATTTTATGTCATATAATATATAATTATATATTACTACATAAGATATATATATCCTAATGTAATTATTAGACTAACCACTAGTTTGTTTTATATATAAAATAATGTATAATATGTAATATACCATATTATTGATATAATATATAATATAATAATATATTAATACAATAAGTTTTATATTAGTTAATATATAAATTAATCATTTTATATTATCAATATAATATATAATTGTATATATGATATAATTGTATATTATATATAATTTTGTTTTCTATATAATTATATATGTATATATGAAACAATCTCTAATGGTTAGTCAAATAACTACATTACAATATATATGTTTGTATATATATATGTATATCCTAATGGTTCAGCGTCTCTGATTGAACCCTAATACAAACACCCATCCATATTTATATACTAACACACTATAATAGCTGTCTAATTAATTTCCAATCCTTCTCACTTAAGGAACTGATCATTGTACTTAGCCAGGCTACTAAAGGGACAGCCTCTGTGCTGATTCTATCTGGATCCCTCCAGCCCACCCCAGGATTCGTTGCATGCCATATTGCACTTCTGTCCCACAACATCCACACTGAAAGGTCTTCAGAAACAATCATCTTTGGTTTTCTCAGCCTGAGCCCTCTGTTCTTTTACTGTCCTGGTCGAGCATTCTCTTGGGCATGGTCAACATTCTCCTCAAGCTGCAGTGTTGAGAGGGACATTTGAAAACCTGCAAGAGTCACACTGGAGATGGAGCCACTCACTCCGCAGCCCTTTGACATTCTCCGCATGACACCATTAATCATGGCCTGGCAGCCCACGCTTAGGAGTACTCAGCCTCTTTACTATTTAATCACTTTATGTCCAGTATCATGGGTCATAGGAGTTTTTATTGCTAGTCCAGAATTTCCTAAAAAACTACACACTAGGGCAAGTTATTTTCATAAAATCCAATACATAGCTTTAGAACAATATTCAGTGGAAATATCTACACAAGGGTATGCTACAGAATGTTGATGGGACATTCTGTCTCAGGGTCAGGGCCATTCTCAAATTTACTCTACAGACATCAGGAAAGACTGACCATTTTATTTTGTGTTATGAATGTACATTATTTTTTTAAAAATAACTTTGTTACTGTAATAGCCCATCTATCACCTCCGGTTTGAGGTCTTCCTCAGTCCTTCAGACTGAGCTAATGACTTTGTTTGGTATGTAACATCATTTTAATAAAAGCCATGTTGTATAATGACTGGATGTTTTTTCCAGCTCATCCATAAAACTGTAATCCTCTCAAGTCAGAAATCATACTTTCTTCACCTTGGTTTGCCTAGTCCCTAATGTATTGAGTTTTATTAAAGTTTTGCTGAATGAAAAATAAAGGTATTTTTATTTTACCTCAATTTTCCAGACTTGGGAAAAATAACTCATTGTTTCTTTTCCATGTTACCAAATACACTGATGAACTTTAAGAATCTATCTAAAGGCCAGGGCATGATGGCTCATACCTGTAATCTCAGCACTTTGAGAGGCTGAGGTAGGAGGATCACTTGAGCCCAGGAGTTCAGATCAGCCTGAGCAACATAGTGAAACCCACCTCTACAAAAAATAAAAATACTAACCTGGGAAAAATGATGAAACCTCATATTTACAAAAAAAAAATACAAAAATTAGCCTGGTATGGTGGCTCCCACCAGTAATCCTAGCTACTTGGGAGGCTGAGGTGGGATGATTACCCAAGCTCAAGAGGTAGAGGCTGCATTGAGCCATGATGACACCACTGCAGTCCAGCCTGGGTAACAGAGTGAGATCCTGTCTCAAAAAATAATAGTAAAAATAAAACTTGAAATATTAGCCAAGGATAATGGCCCTTGCCTGTTGTCCCAGCTACTCAGGAGGCTGGGGCAGGAGGATTGCTTGAGCCCAGCAGGTCGAAGCTGCAGTGAGCCATAGTTGCTGCCACTGCACTCCAGCCTGAGTAACAGAGCAAGACTCCATCTCTATAAAATGAAAAAGGAATCTATCTAACAATTAAAATGCTTACTACCATTTTCGACTCTCTGAATCAATGATGTCCAATGGGACTTTCTGTGATGATGGCTTTTATGAATTTGAAATGTGTTTAGTGCAATTAAGAAAGTGAATTTCTAATATTATTTCATTTTAGTTAATTTTAAAATAAATAGCCAAATATGGCTACAAGATGTCAATTGGTCAGCACAGCTCTGTATGCTTGGCATTTTGTAGAAACTTCCACAGAGATAGTCTGTGTTTCAACTCTGAGTCTTAAAAACATGTCACAGACTAAGCTCTATCGACTTCTTCCCTCTGATAGTGTTTTGAACCTAAATTCACCATACATATAGGGAGAAAATGATCTCATTTCTGGGACAGATTGATAAGATAACCTTTTTCTAAAACATGGCCTTGGAATTTAGTAGTATGCTTGATTTTGGCTTAATTAATGATCTTTAAAATGTTTCCCATTACATATTATATGTTCTGTTCATCAAAGCAATTAAAAACTTTAGTGAGGAGGACATTTTATGCAGTATGTTTTTTAATTCAAAGTGAACATATTCTTGGACAAATAATCTTCATTTTATTCCCTCCTGAAAAAAAAAACTTGTCTGAGATTACAGAGCCATTCTATTAAAAGAACTATGCACAGTTTACTGAACATATTTGTATAAAACTGTCCATTAAAGACAAATAACAGGTTCTTAAATCAGTGCCAATTTTGTTTTGGGGGTTATGTGAGAGGGTGCTTCTGCTCTTTCCTCAAAAATAGGCTACAGAAAAAAATCTCTATAGAGATGATTAATTAATTCTGAATGTTTGATGTCTTTTAAGGGTTTAGTCCATAAAAAATACGCTTAACTGCATTAAGAAGGAAATTTCAACTAGGAAGCTATATAAGAAGAGGACTGTAAAACTGATAGTATAGCTGTAGCTTAATCATATGTGTTATTTGTTTGTCTTTATCAAGGAATCCAGAAATCAAAAGGCAAGTGTTTATTTAAGTTTAAACTTAGAAATCCTAATTTAAACCAAGGACCTCAAAAGCACTAGCTAAACAACTAGCCCCCAATGACTAAATTTAGAAACTCACATTTACAGAGCAATTCGTCTATTATTTAACTATAGACTTTTTTGAGTAAAATGAGATCCATTTTCAACAACATCAAACAATACCACAAATGTGAAAACAAACTAATAAGATTCAAAGGAATTGCAGGATTAAAAAATACTAACAATGAAATTTGCTCTTTACATAATACCCATGATTTGTGTTTCTATGCTACTTTTAAGAAGCAGCTTAATACATCTCTTATACAGACCTATGTTTGAACCTTATTTCCTTAGTTTACTCATATCCTAGCAAAGGTGCTATGCTTTGATTTATTCATCAGTAAAATGTAGATAATCATCATGACTTTTATATGGAAAATATTTAGAATATTAAGTACTTCATAAATATTAGCCATTCTCATTCAAGGCAAGAAATCTCTTCTTCCATTTATTTCTTAAAATGTAAAACTTGATATGTGTGATCTTCTGTAATATCTTTTACTCTCTTTCAAGCATCAGCTATAGGAAGATAAATTGGAGCATTTACAAGCCTACAGAAAGAGCAGGGGATAGAATTGTAATTGTAAATCAGACTAAAACTCTATTCATTGCCATATAAGTGGCATAAGAACGTATGTCAAAATAATTATGAATAAAAATTTAATAGGAAAAGTGATGTTCTAGTAGTAAAGCACAGAAGTGATTGTTAATATTATTATATTGCAACTTGAAGTTACTAGCTAGAGAGATCCTCATTCAAAATTTGAAGTGTTTGTTGTGGCTGTTGCTGAAATAACAAGAGGAAAAGAGGCGAATCTGTGTCCTACCCTAGAATTCTGGTGGAAGATGAACCATAGGAAGGAGAATTGGTGGTGACAGCCTGAAAGAAGAAAGGTGAGCAGACCAAATCTCTAGGGCCTGCAGGAAGAAAAGATTATACTGAAAGCTGACTCCAGATGAGGAAGGTGACTCAAATGCTTAAGCAGCAGGAGGGCCCATATGTTACCTCACAGCAGGGAGATGGAAAAGATGCCCAGTCAGGGATTCTATCAACCTCATGATTATATAATGAGTGGAAATACTCACTGGAGTTAAACAGACCTAATTGTAAATCTTGGCCCAACCATTTGTTAGCAATGCAACATTAGGCAAGATTTTTTTTTTTAAACTCTCTGAGATTTATTTTTATTACTGTAAAATGAGGACAATAATTGTAATTTCTTACAGCTTTGTTGCTTTATAAAAGACATTTGTAAAGTGATTAGCACGATTCCTAGAAGAAAGTAAATTTATTTGTAAAATTTTATTTTTAATTGACAACTGTATGTATTTATGGAGTATAAAGTCATATATATATATACAAATGCATATTATGGAATAATTAAATCAAGCTAGTTAACATATCACACACATACTTTGACCAACATCTCCCTGTTCCTAAATTTAAAATTACTATTTGAAAAAAATATTATTTGAAGATGAGGAAAGATCTCTAAGCAACTGTGGCTTAAATAGATATTAGTTAAACTATTAACTACCACAGAGAATCTGTGAGCTATAAATTGACTAATAGCCCTGGACAGTCATTCATGAAAGATGTTATGCCTTTTACCTTCTTAAAATCTTGGTAGCTTTTCTAAGATTCACTTTTATTTTGGTTTGTTGCCCTTTCTCAGGACCCCTTTGCCCTGTATTTTCAAAGTCAGCTAAGATAGGATATGAGGACATAGTAAAAATGCCTATGTGCTTCTGAAACTCAGGGCCAACTTCTACCTGATGCCTGATTTAGAAATATCCCTTCTACCTTAGCCATCCAGATATTCTAAGAAAGCCTTCTGACCTGGGAATGCAGTGTAGACTTCACATGCCCTGGCTTCATGCTGCTATGCCTGTAACAGGGACAGATTAGTCATATACAACCACATCCTATATAAGTACTTTTAGTAAGTTTGTTTACAGCTTCAAGATAACTAGCAAATAAGAATTCTTCCCCAATAAACAGTTATTTATCACTTACTGTTTATTCTACAAGCTATAATGAAGACTATTAAAATGATCCAGAAAAATCTGATCTTTTAAATGTGATTAAAAACATTAACTCTCTAGTACTGAGAAACAGAAAAAAAAAGGCTGTAAGTACATTCTTTAGACTGTGCATCAAAAGAATAAGTTACTACTGTAGTTAGCCTCTGTTGACTTCAATTTCCTCTTTGAGAAATAAAGCAGTTGAACTACTCGATCTGTTAATTCCCTGCTAAGTTAACCAGTGTGTGGTTCTATGATGTGGTGGACACTTTAGGAGCTAAAGATAAGAGCTTAATTTACAGGTGCATTTCTCTGCCGGAGAATATAAAAATATATCATTTTCAAAGATAGCAGTGGTAGCTAAAAAAGATATTAAGAAAGACATCCCTTTGAAAGCATATGAGTAAGAACATATAAAATGAAAATTACTCAGGCAAAAGCACCTTGTAATTTTTTTATTTTATTTATTTATTTATTTATTTTTTTGAGATGGAATTTCACTCTTGTCCCCCAGGCTGGAGTGCAATGGCATGATCTGGGCCCACTGCAAGTCCACCTCCCAGGTTCAAGCAATTCTCCTGTCTCAGCCTCTCAAGTAGCTGGGAGTACAGGCATGCGCCACCATGCCCAGTTAATTTTTATATTTTTAGTAGAGATGGGGTTTCACCATGCCGGTCAGGCTGGTCTCAAGCTCCTGACCTCAGGTGATCCACCTACCTCAGCCTCCCAAAGTGCTAGGATTACAGACATGAGCCATCACGCCCAGCCTATAACATTTTTAAGTCACTTGTTAGCTTGCTTTTCATTCACCGATTAAAAATAATTTCATTAATTCATTTTCACCTAGAAATTTAAGTATTTGTTTCTTCCAATCCATAGTGCACAATCCTCAAGGGGAAATAAAAAGGAATAATTAATTGTAGCCTCCTTGGTTTTTGGTTAGATGTGAGGAAAAGTAATCAGAAAATGGATAAATCTGTATTATATTTATTTGAGTTTCCTACAAGTACTGTAACCAAGTACCAAGAGCTGGGTGGCTTACACTGACAGAAATTTATTGTCTCATAGTTCTGGAGACTGGAAGTTTGAAGTAAAGCTGTCAGCAGGGCCACAATCATTCTGACACTCTAGAAGAGAGTCCTTCCTTGCCCCTTCTAGCTTATCTTTGTTTGCTGGTGATCCTGGGCATTCCTGGCTTGTAGATGCATCACTCCAGTCCCATGTGATGGCCACCTTCTCCCTGTGTGTCTTCACATTATCTTCCCTCTGTCCATGTCCATGTCCAAATTCCCCCTTCTTATAAGGACACCAGTCACATTGAATTAAATCCCTCATCTTAACCTCGTTAAACCTGCAAAGACCTTACATCCAAATAAGGTAACATTCTGAGGTACTGGGGGTTAGGACTACAAAGTATTTTTTGAAAGGTACAGGATTCAATCAATAACAATCATTCCCTCCTCCAGAATGAATTCAGTGAGTACGCTAGATTTAAAGTTGTGTCAACGACCAGGAACTGAAATAAACATCATGCAGGACTTTCATCACTTGTATAGGTAATATTGTTTGGTGTGTTTCAACCCAAACCTCATCTTGAATTGTAGCTCCCATAGTTCCCATGTGTCGTGGGAGGGAACTAGAGGGAGGTAATTGAATCATGGTGGTGGGTCTTTCCCATGCTGTTCTTGTGATAGTGAATAAGGCTCAGGCGATCTGATGGTTTTATAAAGGGGAGTTCTCCTGCATGCTCTGTCTTGCCTGCCACCATGTAAGCCATGCGTTTGCTTCTCCTTTGCCTTCCACCATGATCGTGAGTCCTCCCCAGACATGTGGAACTGATGGCAATGGTGGGCTGCCATCATTTTTCTGAAAAAATTATGCATAGATTTCAAACTTTTTTTGCACAAAAATAAACTCATACTAACTTGTCATAATATGTCTGAACAGGATCTAGTTTGAATCACTAGAGCTAGGACATCAGTTTAAAAGGAGCCCCTTTCAGAGCAACATGAATTCTGTTGAAACTGAAGCAAGAACAAACATCACATTTATGATGAAGCTTGGGTGGAAAAATAATGAAATCACTGATGATTTATAAAATGTTTATGGCTGGATGTGGTGGCTCACACCTGTAATCCCAGCACTTTGGGAGGCCAAGGCGGGCAGATCACCTGAGGTCAGGAGTTCAAGAGCAACCTGACCAATATGGTGAAACTGCATCTCTACTAAAAATACAAAACTTAGCCAGGTGTGGTAGTGGGCGCCTGTAGTCCCAGCTACTCAGGAGGCTGAGACAGGAGAATTGCTTGAACCTGGGAGGCAGAGGTTGCAGTTAGCTGAGATAGATCATGTCACTGCATTCCAGCCTGGGCAACAGAGCAAGATTCTGTCTCAAAAAAAAAAGTTTATGGGGACAATGGCCTAAAGAAATCAGCAGTTTACAAATGGATAACCAGTTTTAAGAAGGGATGAGACAATGTTGAAGATGTACCCCACAGTGGCAAATCATCTACATTAATTTGTGAGGAAAAAATTAATCTTGTTCATGCTCTAATTGAAGAGAATTGATGATAACAGCAGAAACAACGGATAACACCATAGACATCTCAACTGGTTGAACTTACCCAATTCTGACTAAAAATTAAAGTTGAGCAAACTTTCCACTCAATGGATACCAAAACTGTTGTGCCTACATCAGCTGCAGACAAGGGAAGAGCTTTCAAGGGAAATTTAAAGTGAGATCCAAATCCTGAAGCATTTTTTAAAAGAACTATAACAGAAGATGGAACACAGCTGAAGACAAAGCACAGTCAAAGCAATGGCTACCAAGAGGTGGAAGTGGTCCAGTCAAAGCAAAACCAGTCAAGAGCAAAGGTGATGATAATCATTTCTTGGGAAGCTCAAGGCATTTTTCTTGTTGACTTTCTGAATGGCTAAAAACAATACCATCATCTTATTATGAGGGTGTATTGAGAAAATTAGTCAGTTTTGGCATTTTAGCAGAAAAAATGCCCAGGAAATCTTCACAAAACAGTCCTCTACCACAACAATGCTCCAGGTCATTTCTTTCATCAAACAATAACAATTTTCCAGGATTTTCACAGAGAAATTATTAGGCATCCAGCTTACAGACCTAAGATGGCTTCTTCTGACTTCTTTTTGTTTCTTAATCTTGAAAAATCCCTAAAGGGCACGTATCTTTCTCTTTTTTTCCCCGTTTTTATTTATTTATTTTTTAAATTGTACTTTAGGTTCTGGTGTACATGTGCATGATCATCATGCAGGATTGTTGCATAGGTACACACATGGCAATGTGGTTAACTGCCTCCATGCCCCCATCACCTACATCTGGCATCTCTCTTCATGTTATCCCTCCCTGACCTCCACATCCCCCTGCTGTCTCTCCCTTGGCCCCCCTCAACAGACCCCAGTATGTGATGCTCCCCTTCTGGTGTCCCTGTGTTCTCATTGTTCAACACATTCCTATGAGTGAGAACAGGCGGTGTTTGATTTTCTGTTCTTGTGTCAGTTTGCTGAGAATGATGGTTTCCAGATTCATCCATGTCCCTACAAAGGACACAAACTCATCATTTTTTATGACAGCATAGTATTCCATGGTGTATATGTGCCACATTTTCCTTGTCCAGTCTATCATTGATGGGCATTTGGGTTGGTTCCACGTCTTTGCTATTGTAAACAGTGCCACGATGAACATGTGTGTGCATGTGTCTTTATCATAGAATGATTTATAATCCTTTGGGTATATACCCAGTAATGGGATTGCTGGGTCAAATGGAATTTTTATTTCTAGGCCCTTGAGGAAGCACCACACTGTCTTCCACAATGGTTGAACTAGTTTACACTCCCACCAACAGTGTAAAAGTGTTCCTATTTCTCCACATCCTCTCCAGCATCTGTTGTCTCCA